TTCTGTGCCCTCCTGCAATGATTATTCCAAACTACCTGCCCTATACACCTAGCGCTGAATAGCAGTTGAGGCAGAAATAAATCACTTTGTGGTTATTAGTTGCATTTATTGGCTAATGCAGCTTAGCAAGGACAGGGGAGCACTTAGCTTCATGCAAGGCATCTCCCCGCTAATGCAAACACAGCAGAATTATTGTCATGTGAGACTGAGATCGCACAGGGATCTAAACCACACTCACAAAAAGATTTATCATGCAGCCTTAGTATGTGCATTGTGTGTGTACATAACAGTATTTATAGCTGATTCAAAGGCATTAGACCAAAAACACATTTTATCTACAGTACTTGGTTAATGTTAATGGTATTATTTTAATACCTTGGTTGTTCTTTTTTATATATATATAAGTTTTTAATACTGGAAATCCAGTTTTGGTGTATACAATTTTATCAGTATAATTTGCAACAAATACTTTATGTGCGAAAACACTCTTAAATTGAACTACACACAGCTGTACAGAAGGGTTTTATGTACCAGTTTGAAGAAAACAGCCTGTGAGCCAGGAGCTTGCTCTGCTTAATCTAACACACCGTCCTGCAGCTTAAATTTTAACCTCTCGATCATGACCTGTCACAATCACGATAATGTGCAGGTTACAATATGCACATGCTGCCTCAGAGATGGGCAATATGAGCTTCTGTGGTTTGAGGCTGGTTTATATCTGAGACATCAGCTTGTGTTTGTCCCACATAAGAAAAGAGAAACAGGCAGTTGCCTCTTTAGCCTTTATACATTTTAAATTTGAAAGACAGCTGTTAATGTGATGAACAATGATGCTTCAGCCAAGGTTCAGTAGTAATTAGTAAGACTGGTAATGCTACTAATGGCTCGAACGTTATACAGCAAATACCTTTGTATTTTTGTTGCTGCCTCAACACGAGTTAATTAGCCAAACGATTCTTTACTTCAGTGTAAATTTCTGAAATATAAAGGAGATTATAATAAAAAACAATGCTAATTGTGGCTTTTTTAACCCATTGCTTTGATTATATTGGTTATTGATGGGACTGTAGTTTTTTTCTGTTTTGCTTTTAATCAGATGCTAAAGATCATTTATAGTTACAGCACTGCACTAAACATGTTTCTGCTTCCTGTTATATATAACCAACCTGTTTGGCATAAAAGCTCAGACCAAACTGTCACTGTCATGTACCTGGGACATTAGCTTGAGCTTGTGTCTCCCTCAGGACCCCCACTGATAGCAACAAGTGGGATTGATACCCCCAACCACCAGTCTGCAATCACTTCTTCACCTCCTATTGGACTGCCCGGGCTGCCACCTACTCTTCCTCCTCCTACTCCACCTCCCCCTTCCTTGTCTACATCTGTGTCTCTTCGCCCCCAATATGTCCAGTCTGAATGTAAGAAGCAATGCTTTTGCTATTCAGATTGGATCTGTTTTTTAGGGTGGCATTGCTGTGGCTTTATTTTATTTTATTTGGATAATTGTGCTCATTTGATTTCCTGCAATCTGAGTTTTCCTTTGTTTGCAAGTAGATGGCACTTTATAATGTAGAACTATAGTAACTAAGCCAGTGAGAGTTAAGTTACTTTTTGTTTACTTTGAAGTACCCTTTGTGTCTGTTTTTCTGTACTTTTCAATTTGGTTTGTGTGATGATGATGTAGTGTATGTGGTTTGTGATGCACATGTATTTCTTCAGGCTGCAATAACAGCTGTTGACCAGAGGGTGGCACTGTTAATTAACTTCAGAGACAAAGTAGCTCTGAGCAGTTACCATCAACTCTGCTGCATCCTACTTTGTCGACTGCTTTCCCCATAATTCTGCTCCTGAATAATTCCAGTTATTCAGAAAAGCTCAGAAATTGTTCAAATCAAGTGGATTTGTTTTTATTTAATTGCACACACTCATATAAAATCATAGCTGTCATGAAAGGTTTAATTTCATTAAATTGTGCCTTTAGGTTACAGTACGCTGTGGCTCAGTAAAAAAATGATCATAGTGTTTCGTCTTATCTATCATCTTATTTTCTTATGTACATTTTAATATATTTTGTCAGTATGACATATTTATTTCAATTACTACTCAAAGCTGCTTTTAACATGTCATAAGTTTAAACTCATGGCATTATCATGTGCTATATAAGTCACTGATGACCCAGCAAATGATTTATTTATACAGAATTTCTTGTGTTCATTGTGTAAATTCATGGTATATGTTGTGTTTTTAATTTTAGTATTTGGGATGTTTTTTGTTTTGTTTTGTTTTACATTTTCAGGACTGCTGCTAACAGCCTGTATATGTGCTCATTTTTATACATTAGATAACTATGATCCAGAAGGTTATAACCCAGAATCCCCAGGCCTGACTGCGGCTGGTCGTAACTCATACCGTCAGTTCATTCCCCGGGTGCACACCCAACGCTCCAACCTCATTGGCCTCACCTCCAGCGAAGGACAAAGCTCTAGAGGTAGCAAGTATTGCCCTTATTTGCACTTAAAATTTTCCTGCCTTACTTAACCGATTTAATTGGAAAAGCTCCTAATTATAATGATTGTTTCTTTGTGTTTGCATCTGTGTGCATCTTGCAGCTGCTAACATAGTGATCCAGACAGAGCCTGCCACTGCAGCCAGCACTCCTGGAAGTAATGCGTCCCGTTTCAGCACAGAGCAGGACAGTAGGAAGAGAACCATGGGACCCAGCATAGCTGAGGGACCAGCAGCTAAAAAACCCTGGATGGAGAAGTAAGGTTTCACAGACATGCACATTTAAAAAAAAAATGTTCCTGCCAAAAAACATTTGTTTACATACAGAAGCTTTTAGAGTTTATTTTGTTTAAAATTGAGCTTGAAGGGTTGAAATTTGCACTGGACAGGTTCACTGAACTGGTTCTTGTTTTGTGAAGAAATTTAAAGAAACCAGCTGGGCATTTGAAATTTGATCAAATATGTGCCTTGCCTCACTTCCTGTTAGTGCTTAGAGAGCCTTGTTTCAAGCCAAGGTGACTCATAGGTCAGCAGTCTTTCTTCTGTCTGCCATGGGAGGCAGGTGCACACAAACATCCCCATGACGCTGAGGCTCTGTCTATAATCCATCTCGAGCAGGTTGCTGTGTGGTCCTACTTTCAGGCATAATTGTTATGTGGCTTGTACGTCAGACACTCCAACCTCCAGCTCATCAGTCAGGGTTCCATTTCACTGGCTATCATCCTTGGTGATTTTGGCCAAATATTGATTAGCTTGTCTTTTTCTGTCTTCTGAAAATGTCCTCACAATCATACTTTCTCTGTCTCTCCATTTTA